CTCGCAAATTCAAATTTCCGAAAAAGATAAATATAAAACTGCTTTCAATGTTCCTTTGGGATATTATGAATGGAATGTGACGTCTTTTGGTTTAAAAAATGCTCCTTCAAAGTTTCAAAATATAATGAATGACATATTTAACCCTTATATAAATTCATGATTGTTTATATTGATGATGTGTTGATCTTCTCGAGTTCTATTGACCAACACTGGAAACACCTAAATATTTCTCTTAAGGCAGTTAAAAATGCTGGTTTAGTCTTATCTGCCAAGAAAATGGCCTTATTTCAAACTAGCATAAGATTTTTGGCCATAATATTCAGTATGGTACAATTGTTCCTATTGATCAAGCAATTCAATTTGTTGATAAATTTCCTAATATTTTAAAAGATAAAAAAGAATTGCAAAGGTTTCTGGGATTTTTAAATTACATCTCTGATTTTTATAAAGACCTTGCCTTAGATGAACATACAAAAGTTGTTCAAAAAATTAAACTAAAAACAAAAGAATTACCTTGCTTGGCACTTTCAAATCCTAAAGCCTTCAAAATCGTCGAAACTGATGCTTCTGAAATCGGTTTAGGGGGAATTTTAAAACAAAAAGTTCATGATAAAAAACAATTGTTCGTTTTACTTCTAAAGTTTGGAATCATGCTCAGCAGAAATATTCCACAGTTAAAAAAGAAGTTTTGACCATTGTTCACTGTGTCAGTAAGTTTCAAAGTGACATGCTCAATAAAAAATTCTTGGTTAGGACAGATTGTAAATCTGTTAAAGATGTAAAAAATTTAGTCTCAAAGCAAATATTTGCTAAATAGCAGACAATTCTTTCAATATTCGATTTTACAATTGAACATATTAATGGCAATTCCAATTCTCTCCTTGACTTATTGACTCGAGACTTTTTGCAGGGTGAAGAAAGGAAAACAAATCATCCCAAGTCCAAATAAGCACTTGTCATCACCATCACCCTCAAAATATTCTAAAGCTTTATCACAAGCCCAAAGAAAAGGGATTCAAATATCTCCTCAACCATTAAGGGTTCAAAATCCTCAATTCAAAGGTGAAAAAAATACCTTATATACCCACAACAATAATTCCATTAATTATAGTGGAAAATAAACATAAACTTTGTCTTTCGGCTGATATTGCAGCCATATATCTGAAGGATCATATTCATCCCTCTAATAGTTTAAAAACCCGAGAATATTATGAGTAGAATGTACAGTTAATTTCACTGTCAATTTATTTTAGTCAATTTATATTTTATGAATTATTTTATTTTTTATTTTTTATTAAGTACGCCTTGATGAGTTGCATGTATGCCTATATTTTTAAGTGATTTGAATTTTTAGAATGTATGTATATATATATACATATATATATATATACACACACACTTTTTTTGAGCACATAGTCCCCTATTTTTTTGTATCTTAACTTTTTGTTTATATTTTGGATGTAAAGCATTTTTTTAGCCCTTTTACGGGTTTTCGTATAGAGTAACCTATTTGTTGGCGGTCTAACACTTGTATTTTGTTTACTCGATATATTAACACAACAATTAACACATTCAAAGAAAAAAGAGCAGTAGCCTATGTGGAGTGGATGTTCCTTTTACTGAGGGAGCTACTAATTGGTTTCTCCATAGCATATATTTGCAAGGAAGTTGCTTGGATTATGTTTTCATGGTGTCATTTTTTTTTATATTAATCAGTGGCTTACTTTGGACGAATAATTGTAGCGTATTCATCATCGCTTTTTATGTTGCTCAATGATGACTCTACATGCTCAAATACATAACTGAAAAGATGCAGTTTCATAACTAAAACTGAAAATTCAAACTCTAGATGCTCAAATACATCATTGAAATTAAAATTTTGTAACTTAGCATAATACATCAATTTAAAAAGTGATAGACTCCAAAATTGTTAAGATTCAATCCATAAACAACATGTGAATCCAGATTACATATACAATAACGTTCTAAGAGAGAGAGAGAGAATTTCAAATAGCAAATAACTTGAAAATAAGTAATATTTTTATTTGGGATCTAACGTTCACAACTTAAACATACACACAAGTATCAATTCCTTCACGGGGTGTCATGTACAACCATGATTTGTGCATATTACTTAGAGAAAGACAACGTTAAGACTCCCCACTAAAAAAAAATTATTAAAAAAAAAATCACGTTAGATCCCCACTCATCAAAGCCATAACCAGAAAATTCACAAAAGAATAAAATAAAAAAACAACCCATAACCTGGAGGGATTCAAATCTCACTTTGAGATTTGGATCGAAATCCAATATTGATCTTTTGGGGTCTCATGCTACTAGGTGTGGCAAGGTCCTATAAGATCGTTATTCAAAATTTAATTAATATAAAATTAAATATAAGGTAATAATACAAAAACTACAAGTGAATTCCATGAAATCACATCTTCTAAACAATTTAAACAGTGGACATGCATATTCCATGTTTCTTGTCAAGTGCTATCCAAACAGCAGACACCCTTTTTTCAGGAATAAACCAATTCCAGGATAAACCTCTCCCCAAGACATGCTTCTCTAGGTACCCAAACGGGCCCTAAGGGAAGAGAGAGAGATAAGGGCAGACACCCCTATTCCAGGGGGGCAAACCAATTATAGGATAAACCAATTCCAAGATAAGCCTCTCCCCAAGACAAGCTTCTCTAGGTACCTAAACGGGCCTTAAGGAGAGAGAGAGAGAGAGAGTACTACGTGCTAATGGGAGAGAGAAATAGTACGAATTTTAAGGAAAGAGAGAGAAAACAATCTCCTAAAAACGCATTCTTTTAGAGTTAGGAATGTGTAATTTTTCCTAAAATATATGCGTACTCTCTCTCTTTCCCTAAAATATATGTCTACTCTCTCTCTCTCTTCCCTTAGCACGTAGCACTCTCTTCCTTATTGCTAAGCCCCATGAGGAAGTCCCTGACTCCATTCTCACCAAAAGATAGGGGCACAAATCCCTCATGACTTACCCCTTTTCACCCAAAAATAAGATGATGCTTTCTTTTTTTGGCAGTAGTATTACCAAGCCCAATGATGAGGTCTCTGACTTCATTCTCACCAAAAGATAAAGGCCCTAAATCCCAACTGACTTACTACTTGTTTTGGTGATGCTGAACTTATTTGTCTTTATTTACCCAAAAAAACCTTATAATATAATGAGTAAGAAACTTACAAATCATTACTCAATATTTAATTAATATATATATATATATGTATATATATTATTTTTGGGTTGGACCCAATCGGATCAAGGTCCAATCGAACACCACCGATCCGACCCCTAAATTTAAGCTAAAGTGGAGGAGAGTGACTTCAAAACCAACAATGAGAGAGAGAGAGAGGCCAGGGACTTCAAACCAACAAATGACAAAAAAAAATGGTGGGTGCCAAACACATGTCAACTCTAATTCTTGAAGCATACCCAAATATAGATCACCGTTTTCCTAACCCAATCATAAAATAAGGGCAACGTGTCACAAATTTACCATTCTTGACCTCCATATTCCTATGGAGCTTATGCTTGGAACATGTCCTTTTTGGTCATATTCCCTAGGAACATCAGAGTCTCCATAGTGTAGACCGTACCCCTTCGCAATCACTCAATGAGCGGCTTAGATTCGATCTGACAAACTTCAAAGGATTTTATGCTCCCGCAGGAGCATTCTTCCCGGTCATTCTCTCAATCAAAACCCAATCTACTAGCATATTTAAGATCTCAAATCTTACATATGTAATAGTTTCAACTAAGGTTTTGGGGAAATATCCATTCACATTAGAATCGCTCTATTTGTATTAGGAATTAGTGAGACCGATTTGGTTCCCACTACATATATTTGGGTGGCAATGGATGTGGATCTGATCCGAGACCTGAAGGATAGACTGATCTAGGTATGGGTTGAAAAAATTGGACTTAGTGCATCACGTTCAAGTCCAAATCTTGGAATCGAACAGGTTTGAGTTTGGATTTGGTAATATTTTTTGGGTTTTAATATATGAAATTTATTTCAATATAATTAAATATATACATATTTTAAATTTTTTGTGTTGGGTATGGTCTGGCCTAACTCGACCCAACTATTACCATCCCTATTTGTTATGTCAGGACCAACCAATCCGGCTATATCTCACGAGGGAGTAATTATACAATATACTCCTGCAGGAGCATAGGATAAGCCCAAATTTGAAACTCCGCGGTCATCTACGGTCCAGATCTCACTGTCTCAGCACCTCCAGATCGCATCCGTCAATGCTATTGGAGCCTAGCCGCGTAGCACGGGATCTCCAGCTCACCAATAGAAGATCTCCAAGTGCCCCTATAACAGCCGTTGATATTGGAGACCTCAGGGAGATCTGCCGCAGGCACGTGGCACCACATATCCGCGACGGGTGTCCTTCCTATTCCCACTGGCTACACCGGTTGACAAGCGTTGATAACCGGCCACAGCCGGTCACCGCGCTCTATAGCGCGAAGAGGCGTATAAATACCGGCTGCGAAAACCTGATGCGACGGTCCAAAATTATCAGCAATAAAAGTAAGTTTTCTTTTCTTTAGTTTATTTTCTTTTTGATTCTTAGAATATATATATTTTAATTATTTTTATCATTTTCTTTTTTCTTTTTTATTCTTAGGATATAGATATATTTTAATAATTGTAATAATTTCTAAGCTGTTATTATTTAATAATAAAAAGTTATAAAGAGTCAATCTTTTTGTTTTTTTTTAAGCACTTTACGTATTTTTGTTTCGTCAATTTTGCGTTGTTTCGTTTGCGAAATTTCGTTAATTTTTCGGGGGAATTGCTGGTCTTGATCGGGGAGTTTGCTTTTGCTGGACGTTAACAGAGAGGCTATGTGAAGATTAGGGTTTGCTTTCAGGCGGTTAGGGTTTCGCTCTTAGCTGTTCTTGCTTTGTTCCCTGTGAATTAGGGGTTTTGTAATACGTTCGGTTAGTATATTCTTGCTTGTTCTCTGTAAATTAGGGTTTCTTGTCGAGCATTCGAGTTCTTGCTTGGTTCTCTGTAGATTAGGGGTTTTGTGGTGCATGTGGGTAATTTTATTGCTTAGTTCTATTTAAATTAGGTTTCTGTAGAGTATTTTGCTTGTTCTTTTTTCTTTGTTCTCTTTAAATTAGGGTTTTTGGTTGTTGTTCTATATTTTGTTCTCTGTATATTAGAGTTTTTTTAGAGTATTTGGTTGTTATTCTTGGTTTGTTCTTTTTAAATTAGGGTTTCTGTAAAGTAATTTGGTTGTCATTCTTGATTTGTTCTCTGTAAATTGGGGTTTTTGTTGAGTATTTGCGTCTGTCTCTTTATTTTTGGCGGTTGGTTTACTCATTTGTTTTAATTAGGGCTTTTTCCAGAAGAGTGAAGTTTGGTTTGTGCATTGAGATAAAGTTTGGTTTGGGCTTTTTATGTTGAGCTGAAAGTCCCGTATTGTTTGGTGAGGGAAAAATGCGTTTTGAGGGTAGGGTAATGGAGATCCAAGCTTTTCTTCTTGAGGTTCAGGGTTCTTTTATTCTGAGTTTGTATTTTTAGGTTTCTATGGTATATGAGCATGGGATGGGAGCCCTATATCTTTGAAATTGAGACACCATTTAGAACTGAGACTCTTGGTTCTTTGATGGAGGTGTTGTGTTAGGGCTGGTGAGCTTAGCTATTAGGGTTTTCATGTGTTTTCACCCTTTTTTGCATGGTTTGTATCATATCATTGCAAGCTGGGAAACTGCCTCATATGATTCGTTTCATTGTGTACAATTTAACAGGTTATTGACTTCTTTCACTGCATTCTCTGCAATTAAAACTCAACGTGTTGGGGTGTTTTCCTGCAAGCGTAAGACGTGTCACACTTGAAGTTTTCATTCAACCCTGATTCTGTGCTATAAGAGAGAGAATAAACTTCTCCATGAATCATCCATTAAATGTTGTTATTTTAGGAGACAACATGCTCAAGAATGCGGCCATACTGTAATTTTGGGCTTTCAACTATCGTTACCGCCATGGGTTTTCTCTGTAAAAGTTAGAGGGACAAGAGGGCAGTACAAAGGTTATCGTGGTGGAGCTGGATAGCTATTTGGATTCCAGCCACCATTCGGTGGCTGGAGGCTCAGTTCAAGCCTCCTCCAATTCTGGTATCTTTTTTCAAGGTGATGGGTCTTCCGTCACCAACTCTCAAGTGAACAACTCTGGTTTTTCAAGCTCACCCACTTCAATTCCTGGTCCAGTTAGGGGAAATCTTGGCTCTGCACGAGGTGATATGAATCGGGTTTTGAATAGTGCTGCAAACTCAGGGCCTAGTGTTGGGGCTAGCTCTCTGGTCACTGATGCAAATTCAGCCCTTTCAGGAGGCCCCCATTTACAAAGAAGTGCAAGCATAAACACTGAATCTTATATGAGATTACCAGCTTCGCCTATGTCCTTCTCATCTGGTAATAACATTAGCATATCGGGATCTTCAGTCATGGATGGTTCTTCGATAGCCCAGCAAAGTGGGTCATCAGTTACAAGGATCGAGACGCATCATGACCAAAATTCTCAGCAAATTCAGCAGAGGCAACAACATGGGGCTTCTCCTGCAACTTCTCAACAGAGCCAGGTTGGTTCAGGGGGACAGCAACCATTGGGGCCTTTGGGCCATGAGGCCAGAGCCCTTTTGTTACAACAAAAGCCTAGGCTTGATATTAGGACTGAGGATATTTTACAACAACAAGTTATTCAACAAATGTTAAGACAAGAAAATGCTCAGTTACAGGGCCAGAACCCACAATTGCAGGCTCTTTTGCAGCAACAGAAGCTTTTTAGGCAGCAGCAACAACAACAACAACTTTTGCAGTCCTTGCCTCAGTTTCAGAGGACCCATATGCAGCACCAGCAGCAACAACAGCTCAGGCAACATTTACAGCAGCAGGGTGTGCAGGCTGGGCCCATGGTGAAGAGGTTTCAATATGAGAGTGGGATGTGTGCTCGTCGACTTATGCAGTACGTATACCATCAGCGTCAGCGCCCTGAAGTGAGTTCTGTACTTGTTTTTTGTATTTTTTTGCCCTATTCCAAGTTAAGACTGACTTTATTATATTCTAATTGTTATTGTGACGGTTATACTATTCCTCCTGTGGGAGCGAAATTACATATACTCCCATGGGCAATTTGCCCACTGAGGAGGATTATCTTGATCTGAAACTTCGGGAACCCCTTTAGAATGTGAGTATTCAAAAAACAAAATTTTCTGCCATAAAAGAAGTGTAGAATGATAGGGTGTTATTTTTTTTTTTCATGCAGTCCCAAGGTGTGTATTTATTTATTTATTTAAAGGTTGATTGAATAGGTCACATCCCCTAAATTTGCGGTCCTAAAAATACTTTTATCTAGGTTTTTCCAGAGGTAGCAATGTACATTTTGCTCCCACAGGAGCAAATGATCTTTTCAATGATGATGATGATGATACTATTACTGCTACTACTACTACTGGTTACTGCTGCTGCTATTATTTGAAATATTATTTGAAATTGCGAGTTTTGTTTTATTGGTGTGGTTTGGGATGCCAAAATTGGAACTTTGGAATATGGATCACGGTTTTGCCTATTTGTGGCCTGTGCAAAGGCATTGAATACACAAAAGGCACAGTTTCCAATGAATAATGAATGGGTTTTGTTTGAATCAGTTGAACATTTGATAATGTCACTTTAACAAATGAAAGTTATTGCCTTGAATATAGGTAGGGGAATTCTGAATAACGGCTGAAAATTGGCTGATCCTTTAAAAGGCTAAGATTAACAATGACCAGATTTTAGATATTTGAAATCCCACCAGATTTTAGATATTTGAAATCCCTGTATCTTTTTAATATTTTGAAGTTGATTTATTGGATGGAATAGAAGAACACAGAAAAGGCAGAATAAATTGGAAATGAATGCTATTAATAATATTGTTAGAGATGGTTTGAAGTTAAACTGATATTTTATTCTAAGTTTTCCTTGACTGAACTTGTAATGACTTGCATAGCGTTTGGTGTCCCATTCTGGTTTGGTAGATGCATGCAAGCCTCAATTCAGGTGGGGAGTTATGAACGTCTAATGCTTTGGATAGTTTTTGAGATATTTCCCTAATGTCGACTTTTTGCAACTCCATAGAAAGAGGTGTTACTATGTTTGGACTAGTTAATTGCTTTTGGTGGGCTCAAATTTAAAGTTTCTCTTTCTTTCCCAAAGAAAAAAAGAAAAATAATCTCTTTCATGAGAAGTTGTTATGTGTAACATTTGCTGGGTCGTAATGGGAGCATTTGTTTGCCCAGGATAATGACATTAAGTACTGGAGAAAGTTTGTGGCTGAATATTTTGCTCCTCGTGCCAAAAAGAGATGGTGCTTGTCGAAGTATGAGAATGTTGGCCACCATGCGCTTGGTGTCTTCCCTCGAGCTGCAATGGTTTGTGAATCTGCTACTTGTAGTCTCTTCCAATTATCTTGACTTCCTTTTTTCTTTTGCCATGTCTTTTTTTTTTGTGTAAATACCATATGTTGTAGTTCACTATTTCCTTCCATGGAACATTTTCTGCTATTTCCAGCAGTTCAAAGTTTGTGGTCTCATGTGATTGTTTGCTTTTGATGATTATTGTTTGTTTAAAGTTTGTATTTACTAACACCAATTGTTTACTCGATTTTTTATGCTCACCAGGATGTATGGCAGTGTGATATTTGTGGTTCTAAATCGGGAAGGGGATTTGGTAAGCCTTTTTTCAGCTTGTCTGCTTCATTCTCTTTGGAAATAGTCTATGGGAGATTGACAAGATAGTAAAATTTTATGGCTTTATATGTGTGCTTGTTGTCTTCTTAGTCTTTTGTCATTCAGTCTTTATTTCGTTTTTGAAACTGTTAACATTTTATTAATATAATCACAAAGGTACAAGAGCGAAGCCCCCCAAAACGGGGCAAAAAGTAAAAACAACTAGAGAAGGTAACCCAACAGGGAACCCAGAAAAAACGCTGGAAAAACTAAAACTCCTTAGAAAAGCCGGCAGGTCCAAAAGGTTGCACTCCTAATCTTCCACTGACAAGGCATTACCAGCACCTTCTTTGGCAAGGGCATCTCCCTGAGAGTAACTTTCGCGCCAAACTTGCCTCCATGAGACTGAGATCCGCAAACAAAGATGACAATTTCTTCAAAGATAAGAGCCAAATTGTGCAGGCGTGACTCCATGCAGTCTTTGTTTCTAAAACATTGAATAAATAAATATCCAAGATTACTTTTAGCTTGTCTAATATGCAATGTTAAAATATCAATCTGTGATTAGTTGTTCTAGGGGTATGATCTTTATGATCATTGTGCATTCAATTTGTTCATGTAACTTGTCAATGATTATACCTTGTAGATGGTTACTTGCCTATGCATGTGCCATTGTTGATGTTCTAGTCTCTGGAATATTAGTTGGCTTTGTGCTTCTCTTTGAATTTTTTTGGGAGTTTTTTCTCGTGTTGTTTCCAGTTCAGAACTTGAGATGCATGTCTCCACATGTAAATGGCAAATGAAAGGAAGTTCAATATGAGTTTTGTGACATAGAATGAGAGCATTTGTGAATACCTCGAAGATTTAGTAGGTTTTTGGATTGTGTTCCATATTCTATAAGCATGTGCACTTTTTGGACCATTTTTCCATTGATGGCATGGTTTCCTATAATTGATTATGTTATGGGTGCTTTATTTTTTGATTACTTATCAGATTTGGTGGTGACTGCACAAGTTCGTGTTCGTGCCAATATTTTAATGTTTAATCGTTTTAAAACTTCATTCCTTCATTACTTTCACACTCTCTCTCTTGGACAGAGACAACTGTTGAAGTGCTTCCCAGGCTTAATAAAATTAAATTTGATAGTGGAGTTGAGGATGAGCTTCTGTTTGTTGATATGCCCCAAGAATGTAGACTTCCTTCTGGGTTGATAGTATTGGATTATGGGAAGGCCATACAAGAGAGTGTTTATGAGAATCTTCGAGTTGTCCGTGAGGGTCAACTTCGGATCATATTCACCCCCGAATTGAAGGTTGAATTTGTGTCTGATCTCTTTTTTCTTACTGTCCATTTTAACACTGTAATTTCTGAGTAAATGTCTTCTGCTTAAATCAGATATTATCTTGGGAGTTCTGTGCACGTCGTCATGAAGAACTTCTGCCTCGTAAGTTGGTGGCACCGCAGGTATGGACCGTTTTCAGTTTATTTTAAACCTCGTGATTAATTTATATGGATCAAAACAGTCCTTGATTACAATCGTGATCAATGCTTGGTTGAGGGCCTTGGGACTCATTGAATTCACTCAGCTTTGCCACTTGTTTTGACCAGATGAACCATACCAGAGCTTGCATTTTGGTTCTTGTGCATACCCTTGAGTTTTTTGTTCAATTTTCAAGAAGCTTTTGAAGACAAATTATTTGAATTTTGAATAGAGTCATTACTTAGTCCGCTAACTTAACTTGTAACCATCTTTCGTAACCTGTAACCATGCAAGCTCCAAACTGGGATGGAGTTTTTTTTTTTTTGTTCTCTTTGAAATCATAGCATGCTCTAATTTCCATGATTTCGTTCGGATGAACTGTCTGAAACAGATGAGATTTTACCCTTTATTTTTTCTTAAGAATTTTGGCTAGAATGAAGGGCTACCTCTTGTTCAGCAATTGGATTTATTATGCATGTAGCTCTTACCGCCATAAAGATGCGTAGTTTGCCATTGATATGCCTTGATCATTCTAATATTACTACTCATTGGTAAGAATCTGATGGGCCATCGTGAAAGGTTGTCGAATGTTATAGGGATTTGAAAACTTGTGTATAGAATGCATATGTGCAGGGGCTGACATGTTCTAACAGATTACAGTATAAAATTGGATGGATCTCTTGTTGAGAGTAAACTACAAAATCATGTAGGTAGGTTACTGGTCATTATACTCTGGTGCAGACATGTCTCCTCAATAATGGTTTATTTTTCAGCTCATGAATCCTTTTCAGAAAACTGTTTCCCCTTAAACGTCCCAAGTGGATTTAGTTGTCGGAAGTCATTAAGTCCACTTGCCTTTTTCTTTCTCATAGCAGCTATTTCTCATATGTTGGGTTTGTCGAAGGGAATGTTATGCTTACCTCGGTATTTTTTGTTATGTAGGTGAATCAGCTAGTGCAGGTTGCGCAAAAGTATCAAACAGCTGTAGCTGAAACTGGTTCTTCTGGTTCTACAATCTCAACTCAGGATTTACAGACAAATTGTAATATGTGAGTTCTATTGCTGGTTTTGGTGCTAGCATTGTGCAAAAGTGAATAATGCATATCGATGTTGGTACATAAATTGATTGGTGAACAGCTGATGTTACTGTGACTTTAAAGTTTTATGCGATGGTCCCTGAACAATAGAATGTTGAAGTTGTAATTTTAAAAGGTTTGAAAAGGAAAATCTTGAGAGTCCTCTTTACCAAAATATTATTGTATTCATGTTGGTTTGGCAATTGCGTGTTCTTTTCTACATTGATGGATATTGATGGGCAGCATGGAGGGGATTAATTTTATTCGTCATAATGAAATATAGAGGCTTTATTAGAATTTCATAATTGGTGCAGGGTTTATATTATTTGTTATACCAATAATGTTCAAAAGTTTGTTGCAGACTCTGCTGAAAAATTCTGTTATGAAGAATTGGATGCAGCTATTCTCATCTTGGAATTCATATATGCTAGATATGTTGTGGTTAATGAGATTTAGCTTTAGGCGTATGTCCCTATTTGTGGCTCTTAAGAAGATTGACGTGGTTACGAAACAAGAGTTTCATGTTGTCTTAATTTTGGACCATGTTAACCTGTCAGCAATAAAATGGAAATAATAGCTTTAGTACCATAGAACCATTAAAAGGAATTTATACATTGAAGGTCAGTTGGATGTGTGTTTACAAGATTTGTGGTCACACACCTGCTTAATTTTGCAGATTTGCATGATTTCTGCATGCCGTGGTGACGTTTCAGTAAATCTTGGCCTTTTACTTTGTTACAAACATCTTACATCAACCACCGGATAACCTCTCCCATATTTCACCTCTCCCACTGGTGGATACTACTGAGATTCCAGGGACTCCCCAGCTTACCTTTTCTAACTCTAGCCCTAGTGTTTTGTCCCCCATGCCTCACCCTCTGAACCCTACGCTGCCCTACCCTTGGATCTCTACCCTTCCGTCCATCCTCCCTCTTTTTCCTCCTCAGCTGAGCCTGGAACAAATTTGGCAACCCCTTCCGCTCCCCAGGAAGGCGAAGTGACATAAGAGAATTCTGAAGACGGGACCAACATTGAAGAAGATCGAATGAGAACTATGTACATAATTATGGGCTTCGAGTGCGACAGTCCTGAAGGACCTGCACATAGATTCATCCCGACAGATGCGCAGAGCAGGTTGCAGGTGAGACTCAGAGACCAAAGAGAACTTTGCAATCTTTTCTCTTCCTTAGCGTTCCTTGGGAAGCCCATAGAATGTCGGTCCCCCCCTCCACTATCGTCCGTCCGAGGAGGTCCCTCAGACTAGCCTCCTCCCGTGTACTCTCCTCTTATAAATGAAACTGCTCATATGGAACATCAGAGGGCTTGGACAGTCCTCTAAGAAAGATGTAGTCAAAGCTTTCAGCTCTAAATTCTCCCCTACCATTTTGGCCCTTCTTGAGACCAAATTACCAGACCCTGACCCCCATCTCATTCGTCGGGTCTGGGGTAGGAGACCTTGCCAGTGGGTGTCCTTGTCGGCGAATGGGGTGTCAGGAGGTATTTGGGTCGTCTGGGATCCTTCGGACCTCTCTCTTAACTCCCATTTTATAGGAGAATTTTCTGTCACCCTCTTTCTCTCTAATATCTCTGACGGTGTCCCATGGAAATTCTCTGCCGTCTATGGGCCAAATTCTCAGACCATCAGAGATAGGCTGTGGTCTGAACTGGACCATATAGCATCCCTTCCACACCCCATCTGGTGTCATACGATGGTCTTATGAGAGGAATTCCTCATCCTCCGTCTCCTGGGAAATGAGGAATTTCTCGGATTTTATCAGCTGCAATGAGCTGATCGACATTCGTCTTAAAGGATGCAGAAGTTAGAGCTCTCAAAAGATTCCTCTACTGTTTCCAATCAGCAACTGGGTTCAAGGTTAATATGGAGAAATCCAGTTTGCAGGGTGTAGCCTTCTCATCTGTGGATATTAGAGCACTCATTCCAGATTGGGAGTGCAAAGTCCAGGATTTCCCTACTACCTACCTTGGCTTACCTTTGGGGTTGGGGAAACCTAGGAAGAGGCAATGGTCCCATATCCTTGATAAGGTCGACCGACGCCTGGCCAGATGGAACGGCAGATAGCATTCTCTGGCAGGAAGAAATACCCTGATTAAAGCTGCTCTAGCAAACTCCCTGGTCTACTCTATGTCGCTTTTCCAAATGCCTGCTCAGGTGGCAAACAAACTTAATCAACTCATGAGGAACTTCCTATGGTCTGGGCAGACGGAAAAGAAAAAATATCACCTTGTGGCTTGGGATAAGGTCTGTCATACTAAAAATCAAGGTGGCTTAGGGATCGAAGTTCTTAGAAAACACAACCTTGCTTTGTTGGGGAAATGGTGGTGGTGCCTAGCCAGTCAGCCAAATGCTCTTTGGGCACAGGTCCTGAGGCATAAATATAAAGTGCCAGAGGATACCTGGCTACTTGAAAGATCTCAAGCCTATAATGTTTCAGGAGCTTGGAAATCCTTCTCAGCTGTCCTGGCTACTTTCAAGAGGTACATTAGGTTCCATCCAAGAGAGGGTTCGAGAGTGAAATTTTGGCAAGACCTTTGGTTAGGACCTTCCCCCCTGCGAGAGGCCTTTCCAAATCTTTACTTTCTTGCCAGAGACCAAGATTCCTCTATCGCTCAGGAATTAAGCATCTCAGGAGGTCGTAGAGTTTGGAATCCTTCTTCGAAGGAACCTAGACGATGAGGAAACCAATGACTTCCAGCGGCTGTTGAATGCCCTTTATTCCCTTTTTTTCCTATCCCAAGGAAGAGATGATATAGTTTGGGCACTAGCACCCTTGGGTAAGTTCTCTGTTACTTCTTTCTACAAAAACGTTACTTTCTTACCCACTACCCATGATTCTTCCTTCAGAGTTTGGTCCACTATTGCTCCACCAAAAGTACAGACCCTCAATTGGCTTGCTTTTGCTCAAAAGGTCCCCACAGTTGACCACCTACAAAAGAGAGGGGTCCCAATCCCTAATAGGTGTGCTATGTGTGAATGTGCGGAGGAAACAAACCCCCCCTCGTTCCTACTTTGTGATTTCTCTTCTGACCTTTGGGGGAGTGTATTACAATTATTTGGAATAAAGTGGGTTACCCCGCCCTCGGTAAAAGCTCTCCTAACTAACAATCTTGACTCAAGTTGGCCTAAGGGAGGAAAAATCTTGTGGAAGGCAACTATAGCAGCAATTATTTTGATACTTTGTCTAGAAAGAAATTCAAGAATATTCCAAGGATCAAAACTCCAAACACCGGCACGACCCTCTTCCTCTCTCAATGGGGAAATATCCTCCACCATCAACCTCAGGGTTTTAAAAGGCCTAACAACTGGTTACCACCACCACACGGTAGTATCAAGTTAAACTTTGATGGGTGTTCCCTAGGGAACCCAGGCCCAGCAGGGGCAGGAGGGGTTTTTCGAGACCATGAAGGAAATATTCTCCTAGCAATTTCCGAATACCTTGGTCATAAGGACTCTCATCAAGCAGAGGCCCTAGCCGTCCTTATAGCATTGAGAAATCTCAATCCCTCTTGGGGCTCACATCTTATAGTTGAAGGAGACTCAAAAAATGTCATCTCTTGGGCTAGCAGAACAAGCGATCTGCCTTGGCACCTTACTCCAGTTTTTGACGAGATTCATCACATCTGCAGGGCTCTGGACATTTTAGGGCAGCATACGTGGAGGATGTCCAACAATACTGTAGACAGTTTGGCGAAAGAGGGAGCTAGACACCACAGTGAGGTCACTCAAGCCAGGTCCACGTTCTTTTTTGCGCAGGACCAGTGGAACCTAACCAGTACCTGAACCTCTTGTATTTAGATACCCTTTTTGTTTTGTGGTCTTTTTGTTACTTTACTGTAAACGGGCACTCTTTTAAGCCTTTTCTTCCTTTTTTTGCTACTTGTAAACTTTGTAAGGAGGCATTGTTTATAAGCCCATTTTTGTTACAGGGTCTCTTTGGCATATTTTTTTACCAAGATTCCCATCTAGAGGGTACTCTTGGATCAATCCCTAACTGTAATCTTTCTCCCTATAGCAATACAAAAGTCAAATTTTCTCCCAAAAAAAAAAAAATCTTAAATTGGGCAATGATTAAATAAGCAAGGTTCACTGGCTTTACATTAGCTGGGCAATCGAAAAGCTATTTTTTCTATATTTTAAATGCAAAACTTTACCTCAGGCTTGTGCAGTTCAACAAACCTGGCTCTCTCTTTTTTTTCGAAAACAATTGGCGCAATATTATTATTTAATTGACATGGCTCATTAAATTATTCCACCCCAAAATCAATGTCCGGATATATGGCAGCTCCTTTTAAATCATTTCCCCCCTTAGAAAGAAGCTTCGATTGTAGTAATTGTGCTCAATCCTGAAGGCCGAGCTCCTAGTTATGCACAAGCATCTTAAGACTTGACTTTAGTGAGAGTCTGTTCTGTCTTTCATCCCGTTCTTCATTTTTTCTCTGTCCCTACTTTGCACACTAAAGTAGAGTGACCTTCGAACTTTACCCAAGCATCCATGATTATGAGTTTGGAGCTATGATTATTGAGCTTTTATCTATTGAGAATTGACATATTTGATGGACTTGTTTATTGAAGCCATCAGTTTTGCTTCTGATCAAGGATCTTTGATCAAGGGCTATTTAGAGTGGCGAGGGCGGTGGTATGTCTAGTGTCCTATGATTAGAAAGAGTCACAGGAATGATGTTGCTGCTGCTCTGTGGCAGCTTTTTAGTAGCTGTGGGGTTATTTGTTTTGGTTTATGGCCAGGATGGTGTCGTTTAGTCTTGGGAAAGCTTGGGGCATTGTTGAGTAGGTTTTTTATTGGATACGTTTCTGTAGGATAGCAGGAGGAGCCCAAACAGCCTTATTTTAGAGTAGCGAGCTCCTCCTAGGATCTTACTTTTCGGGTAATTGATGGATGTTGGTAAAGCTGAAGAGCTCAAGGAGCACCTTTTCATTCGCCGACACTTTAATAGGAAGTTCTGTGGTTTCATTCTGGATCACTTTGGAGTAATTTTGTTCATGCAATTTTCGACATTGCTGCGAGTTTCTACCACCATATCTTTAGAGAAGCCTTGGGGGAAGCTGACTCGCTTTGCCAAGGGAATGTCTTTTTTATGAGTCATCCATTCCCTTTCATCTAGTTACCTAGTTTATTATTCCTGCTTCTTGGTCTTTTGGCTTTCGTTTCATAATCTTATGAAATTCATTATAAATGATTCTTTGTGATTAATGCTATCCTGTAAAGAATTCTTCTTCTTTTGATTTAATTTCTTTGTGATTAACATTTCCCTAAAACGAGTTCTTAATAAAGAACATTTTTAGAATATTAACATGTGAAACTATTTAAGATATTAATTACATGTTTTGGGTCATCAAAAAATTGCTTCAGATATCGTTGATTCAGATTAAATGTTTGGATAGTCCTCAATCAGCCAGTTTTGTTATGTTTTTGGTTGGTGTATGTAATTTGTTTATGACGATAATTCGTTTATTATACTGTAGGAAATATGTAGATTGAAGTCCGACCATTGGTTTTTTGGCTATTTGTTCCACCAAATCTTTAGTTTGGTATTAATGTCAAATCTTTCTTTCTAGCTTCACTTTCATAAAGCTGTATGAGCTATATTGATTTTTGCTGTGGCTTAGGTTTGTTCAATCTGGTCGTCAGCTAGCAAGGGTGTTGGAGTTACAGTCATTGAATGACTTGGGATTTTCCAAAAGATATATTCGATGCTTGCAGGTATGACCAAAGTCGATATCCCTTCAGTGGTCAATGAACTTTCAATAGTTCATCGTCACTTTTGATCTTTTTTATGATTTTGCTTTTTGATTATTTGCAGATATCTGAAGTTGTAAATAGCATGAAGGACTTGATCGACTTCAGCACAGAAAACAAAATGGGGCCTATTGGTAATTTTATGTTATTTAATGTTCTAGTATGCAGTTAATGCCTATACTATATGATGTGTCTATGTAAAGCATCTGTTTGAGATGTTTGATATTGGATGTCATTTGCTCTATCTTTGAATCCTAGCTCATGTGATGTTACTTCGATGAACGACTGCTATAGCCTCTCTGCTGAGAATGAACCATTAACGTATTGAATGGTATCATATAAACTAGGTGTTGGCTGTTAATCATCATAGAAAGTCGGGGTTTTAGTTGTGAGAGAAAAAGAACAGATGGGTTTTAGCTCATCCAATGACCTGAAGGCAACTAACAGTAGTTTAATTTTAACAAAATGCTTGATCCCGTCAATCCACTCTCCTTTTTCTGAAGATTTAAACTCTGCATATTTCACTGATTATGAAAATGCTAGATCTAGCTTAGAAAATGCTAGATCTAGCTTACCTTTAAAGAGAAATGTGACTTACCTATCCTTGATGTTTCTTCAGTTCTAAAACTTTGTGATGGGACTCTTCCTTGCAGCAAGTTTAAAGAACTTCCCTCGACCAGTGGCTACCCCAAAACTCCAGATTCCAAAAGTGGAAATGGAGCAAATGGTGAACTCTCAAAACCTAGCCTCTGATCAAAACTCTGTCAAACTCATGGCTATGCATTCTGGCTTGGCCAACCATGCAAATAACCATATTGGTGCTGGTGCCCCCTCCATCAACAGTTCGAATCAGACCGCTGCTGTAGCGCTTAGTAACTACCAGAACATGCTTCGACAAAACTCCATGAGCTCGAACCAGAGTCCCCTTCAACAAGATGGTATTTCAGTTCCATGCTCTTTCGGAAACCCTAACCCTAGCCCCACTCCACCCGCATGTAACAACCCTGCACAAACCTCCCCTTTCCAATGCCAGCAGGTTTCATCCATGCAAGGATCGCTTCAAAACCCTAGTCTGATTGGGTTGTCAAGCCCTCTGCAAAGCCCTAATTTGCTCCAACAAACCCATTCTCACAACTCCCAAGGAAATCACCATTTCCAGCAACAAATGATTCATCAACTCCTGCAAGACATGATGAACAATAACAATGGTGGAGCACCGCAACAATCTCAGAACAATAACCAGACCGTAAATGGAAATGGCGGGGAAGACATGTTCAACGGGATGAACAACGGTGTTGGAGGCAGGGCAAGCTCTGGTATGATGGGTAATGGCATGGCCATGGGTAACAATGGACCCAACATGTCTAATAATATCATCGGTATGATGCCGAATCGAAGCAACAGTTTCAAAGGCATAGCAAACAGTTCTTCTCAGGCAAGTGGTAACAATGCCTTCAATTTAAGGTCGAGTATGCAGCACATGCAGGAGATGGTGCCGGACATTCCACACGACTTTACCGAGAATGGAATACTCAATGGGGAACCAGGCGACATTGGTTTCGGATGGAAAAATTAGAAGGCCTTTCTTTATTCGGCAGCAGAGCATAATTAAATCTGATACGTTGTACAGAAGAAACTAGCATTAAGGTTTGATGATGATGCATGTGCCTGCATGTAAATCATTCATGCATGCATTGCATATTCATGGTATATGGAGTGTACTCGGCACGTGATGTTGCCGGAACGATTGTGCTCTGATTCGTGTTTCAGTTTTTACTGTATTTGGCAGTTTTGAGGTTTTTGCCATTTCTAACTATATATTGTTCTATATGATACAGTTATCAACTTCAGTAAAAGTTTGTATTTCCAATGTCTGTTCTTGTAAACAAAATCTCTCTCCCTCTCTCTCTCTCTCTCATTTGCACTTAAATTTCTCTCTCTGGTATCTCTCATTGCCCCGCTCTCTGATATGTTAAACGGTAGAAATGGGGGGTGGAACGTCATGTTCTCTCTCCATTTCTTCCTCTCTGTTTCTTCCTAACTTGAACTTGACACACTCTCTGCACCTTAAGGTTTCAATTAAGGGGTGGCAATGGACCCAATTCAGGACCCGTGGAGTAGACCCAAGTCTAAATATGGGTTCAAAAATTGGACCCGGCGGGTCGGGTCTATGTCTTGCACTATATTTTTGAGTTCTGGTTTGGGTCTGATTATTTTTTCGGGTTTGGATCCAATAATTGACTCGTTGCTGGACCCGGACCCGTCCCGTTGTCACCCCCTCTCTGAAATGCAAATGCAGGAAAGGGCCTCCTATTGTATTCTTGACCCTTCTGGCTTCTGGACGGCATGAATTGGAGCTAAACCCATGTCGTTCCATAATCATAAAATGGAAGAATTACATGCTCCAGCCTGAGCCAAATGTACATTTGCTCCCTCAGGCAGAATCATAGGAGTGTCTTTGAGACCTCAAATTTTGGGGACGTGCTTGGAAAATCTCGAAGTCACCAAGCAGATAATTTAATAGCCTGTGAGTCGACAGCTATGTCACAGTTTTCTATCAAATGTCTCTCCATTATCGGAGGGCAGTTTTACCCTCAATACAGCTAAGTCTCGGTGTTCAGTATGTTGTTAGCTCTATCATCTGTCTGCTCAAGATCGGATGGCTCCCTAAAGATAATTAAATCTCGGTGTCTGAATTATTGGATGGCTGTCGGTTCCCAAATAATTACATGTACAAGCCCATAGGAAGCTCGCCCATTATATATTTCAATGACATTTTCTAACAAATCCAAGGTTTCAAGACCATCAAATCTTTTACCATATCTGCGTGCCGTTTGCGTATGTGAAAATATTTTATGCTCCTAGGGCAAAATGTACATTTACTCTCTTATATTCGATCCTAGTGAAGATCCTTTCCTGCTGTTTAACAAGTGACCTGAGAATAAATCTTGAATATTAACTTAGAATCTGTCAAAGTCTAGGTTTAGTTACTAGAATCAAATCTAACAAAAACTATCTAATTTTTTGATGGTTGGAACTCAGTGTTGAGATATTCAATATTTTTTTTTTTTGGTATAATAGGTGATTTTAAATTGGAACCAAATATTTTGTTGAAAAAGTTTATACAAGGGTGAGGCCCTAAACAATCAAATGAAGGCATACTTCAAAAATTCACTATAAGAGGTTCGATGCCCAAAAATCATTAAATAGATCATCTCGACCTAAATATGTATGGACATGAGAAAAAATAGTTTCCAAGTCTTGAAAATAGTATATCTGGTATGTATTTTCTAGAATGCCAATTCTCAATATTTTCAAGTGTTTATAGATATGCTTGATCAACATTATTTTTTAAGCTTGAAATTTTATAATTAGTTAAATTCTATAATTAAAGATGAAAATAAATTTTCAGGCCATCACAAAGATTTTCAATACGGAAACATCTTTCGATACTATTTGAGCATGTGGTTAAGGGCCTCAACCTTATACAAACCGCATCGAAATTTTATACAAAAAAAATCTTTGCAAGTAGGCATTCTCAAGTGTGTTAGTATGAAAAACTCTTCTCAACGCCTATAGACGAAAATGAACAGTGATTTCTCCTACCCTGATCACCATCCAAACTTCATCGCACGGTCACAGATGTCCATTAGTGTTTCAATTTTTATTTTTTTTCTACAAATCCAAATTTACTTGAAATTTGGATTTGTAGAAAAAAAAAAAGAAAATCGAAACACTACCGGACAACTGTGACCGTGCGATGAGGTTTGGATAGTGATGAGAGTAGGCAAAATCACTGTTCATTCAGTGATTTTGCCTATCCTAATCACCATCTAAACTTCATCCCACGGTCACGATTGTTCAGTAGTGTTTCATTTTTCATTTTTGTTTTACGAATCGGAATGATCTGAAATTTGGAGCATGTGTTCATAAAAAATAGGCTACAAACAATATCAAAAAAATATTTTACATGAAAGAAATATGCCAAAATACCCTTGAAAAGTTTCAAAGGTAATTTGGTCATGTTTTTTATATTTTTATTAGGTGCGCCTCACTAAAATATACATACGCTCCAAATTTCATATCATTCCTATT